AAAAAACGGACCCTTTTTTTTTTTGTCCTCTCAGCCCCAAGAGTTGTTCAGTTAGAGGGAAATGCCTGTGAGGTCACATGGGAGAGTATTCCACCAATGAGAGGAGACAGAATCAGCTATGTGCTACAGGTGCTAGGAGGCAGAGATTCTGATTTTAAACAGGTAAGATCCAAACTCCTCATTAAACCTCCATTGAATCGAGTTTAAAATGACTGTTCCACTCAAATTGTTTCCAAGAACTTTGGCTTGTTGGAACTGTTTGTTTAAATGGGTGAGATAAGAATGCCATGTGGTATTTTAATTTTGTTGCAAGGAAGAAATACCATCTTTTTCCATGTTAGATTTACATATGGCCACGGTCACAGCAGATGAGCTGTTGATGAATAGAATTCATTCTGAACAGGAAATGGAAAATGGGCTCAAGCTATTTGCATCATTTGCTCTTCGTTCCATTTTATCTGTCTTAACTCGTCACAGTCAGCATTTGAATGAAATCGAGTGCTTCCAAACACACAGTCTCACAGGATTCATTAAATTGTGGATTTGGAAAGGACACAGAAAGAGGGGAACATGTGATTATCATGATTAGGATCCATTCAGGTGTGCAAATGCTTATTGTTTTGAAATAATTTCTGGTACGCCACTTCCATGGTGCGATAAATCGAATGGAAGTTCGCAAAATTTGAAATTGTGTGAATTTATTTATTCATTAAAATGATAAAACGCTCCTTTCCCCCATCACATCCTCTGCCCTTTTTTTATGAATATCATTGGGTGACTCTCACATAGAAATATCCAGGTTATATTTTACCCCAAATTTAAAAGAAAAAATAAGACATTATGTATTTTAAAGTTTGTTTTTGTATTGTAAAATGTTTTTTACAATAATCAAGTGCCCTGTGGTTCATTCTTTATTTGTTCATTTACTGTAGCTACCCAAATCAATATATTTATTGTTAAATTCTTTTCTATTACTAGGGATAGAATATAAATATTTATTATTTACAGATCTCCTTTCTTCCATTCTTATTCCGTCATTCCTTCCTTTCTTTTTTTTTTTTATTAATTGATTTAGAATAGATTTAATTATTTACATCTATACATTTGCATTTATTTTGTAATACATCATTTTTGTTTTTTAATCATAACAATCATGATAAAACAAACATATAGTGAATTTATTTATATTTATTTTTTGTATAAATGCATTTTTATATTCCATCTCAGTCATGCTGTATAATAATAATAATAATAATATTAATATAAATATTAAAAATGTATGTATACAAAAAATAATTAGTTGTTGATATATAAAAATGCTAATATATAATAAATATACAAATATAATGTATACGAAATGTATTACAATAAACCCAAATGCATACATATAATTAAATCTATTTTGTTTAAATAATACTACTACTATTTATTCATTTATTTTTTATATATGTATTTAAATACAATAGACTGCCTAGAAGATGTGTGTATTTTGTAATCAATTATTTGTATATTTTAAATTTTATAACTATTATGTGTTAACATTTTAATATAAAAATAATATTTAAAAAAAAAAAGAGATTTTTTTTAAATATTCCATCCCCAAGTATAACAGAATTTATTATTATTATTACATTTATAATTATCCAAAAGTGCACACAGTGAAGGAGAAATTTGAACTGTGTGGGCTAATGCATTACTTTCCTTCTGTCCTTCAGGTATATAAGGGAGATGAGACATCCTTCCAGCTCTCTGGCCTGCAGTGGAACACTGACTACCGCGTGCGCGTGTTTGCATGCAGGCGCTGCGTGGACACCCTCCAGGAGCTGTGCGGGTCCTTCAGCCCATCCGCCCACTTCAACCTGCGGCGGTCTGACGCCACACTGGCTGAGGAAGCGGACATCACCAGGGTGCCCATGGGCAAAACCCTCAGCGATGAACAGTTTGCTGGCCTCATAGTATTTGGGGTGGCCTCTCTCTCTGTCCTGATGGCCTTCCTGCTTCAGCTTCTGATTTAGAGCCGTTCTCGTCTCTTCAGTTTTTAAACTACAGTTTGCAAAACCATTAATGCAAGTACTGTTTTGGTCTTTGACCAAGATACACCTTTTATCACATGAGCAGATTTCATGTTATTTTTTTTTTATACAGGTTTTTCTATAAGATGAGTTAGAGTTTTAACAAATCGGTAATGATGAAATGTACTGTTCTGGCGCCTGTGCCTGGTTTTTAACTTTAAGATGCTGTGCATATTTTTATATTTAGTATTTAGGAGATTTTAACACTAAAGTAATAAGTGGCCTTCCGGATCTCAAGTTGGAGTATCAGATGAATATCTGAGGATTTTTTTTTAATGGTCAGTCCTATTTATCTTGAAATCAATGTCTAGACAGCTAAATGGCATCAATGATCTCGTTCCCTTATCTGTGCCCCAGGAAAGTCTGTCTAAAAGCTTCTTAAAGGCTTTATTCGTTCTCTCCTCTTTTGTTTGTCCTAAAAAAGGTGTCCTTGGGCTGCCTGTAAACATTTTTTTTTAAAAACCTGCAACTATCAGTCCAAAGAGAGTCAAATGACAGTCTTTGCAATCAATCATCAAATGTACAGTGTTGTGAAGTCTGGAGTTTTTGTATCTCAGGGACTTGGGAGGGCCATGTGAACCTGTGCCTTGAAATCCACAAATCCAAACTTTTGTGACAAATCATTTCAGATCTGCTGCTTACAGTATTTCATAAACCCTTTACTCTGGTCACATTATACATTACATGATCATGTTTACTAGCTCAGTCAGCCCCTAACCAAAGTTAGTGAGCATTCAAGATATAACAGTTTTGTTAGATGTATTTATGCTATATTTCTGTACTTTATAATGCAAATCACTGTGCAATCTTCATTTATTTATTACAAGAATCAGATACGTCATATTCAATATTTTCCTCATGTAGCATGTCTTTTTATAAGGGGGATTATGACAAATCTTTATTATTTTTTTTCTGAATATAGCACAGCATTTTAACATCATTAACCTGTCTTATTTCAGATATAATTGTATTGTTTATTTTCTGTTTTTAATTGTTGTTTTTTTATTTTATTCTGATAATTTTTTTAATTGCTTCGGTTCAGAAAATGTTGATATCTGATCAGTTTTGTGATTTCCCACCTGCAAGTTTCAGTTTTTTTTTTTTTTTAGATTTTAAAATATATTTTTCATTTGACTTCTTTGAATCGTCTACTCTTCATATAGTAGACGATATATGTATTGCTGCAGTTTTTAGAAAAACATTCCATTGTTTTCTGATTAAAAGAATTTGAAATGACTTGACACTAGAAAACTTGAAGTGGAAACACTTGAAGAACACTTTTTACGAACTCAAGACCCAGAATCTTTTTAAGTGGAAAAAAAGAAATACTTGTTTGTTTGTTTTTATTTTTTTAGCTGCATTTAGCTGGACATCAGGTAATAAGTGGCCTAGACATAGATTTCCATGCTTGCATATAGTTTCATGAAAATCATTCCATATTACAATTTTTTTAAACGTTACTGTCACATTTAATGATGTAAATTATAATCGTAGACATTATATTTAAAAAACTACCGTATCAATTTAAATGTATAGATATTGAAAATACTAGCCTTTGTATTTAAGATGATTATGTATCTGTAGTATATATGTAATATATTTATACACAATAAATTTTTTAAATTTCTGAAATGAGGTGTTTGCATTTCATTTACATCAATTATATTAAGTTTTATACATTTATTTATTCGTTCATTTTAATTAATACTTTTATTTTTCCTTTACTAAAGGACACAAAATAAAAATGTTGAATATATATATATATATATATATATATGTATATGTGTGTGTATGTGTGTATATATATATATATATATACTGTATATGCATGTGTGTGTGTATATATATACTGTATATGCATGTGTGTGTATGTATAATTTTTTTTCTGTTCTTGGGAGCCTATTATTTGATTGTTCTTTTTGTAAAAGGACAGACCCAGTTTCTCTGAGGTTTTTTAAAATGTATTTTCAGAATCAAATACAAGACAATCTGTATAGTCAATAGCACAAAAACATTTAAATTTTAAGATTGAAGTATTACTGCATGACATCAAAAACTTTCTATATATTACACAATAACACATTCCATAAAATGTATCAGTGTGCATTAAAGGAAAATAAACACAATATATTAAATATCTTTCATAAATATTAAATATGTTTTACAAACATCTCAAGAAATAGTTTTAATTAGAATATCATTGCCAACAAGCAACATAGGCTGAATTCAAACACAAAGCTTACACAAAACTACTGTGGCAGCAGTGTTCACAAACCTGCAATAAGTGCACTTTTTATAGCTGCTACACATTTATGTAACATAATAACACAAGCTTGGTGAGAGCTTTTTTGGCATTGGATTTTATCATTCAGCACCATTACATCTCACCCACATAGGGTGCAATGTTAGAGTGCTTACATCTACAGTGCTCTGTCATCCAGTACTTCACACAGTTTAAGGCATTTTTGGGTTAGTGTGCAGTTTGTAGAGTTTGCATGAATTACAGGGTAAAGGGAAACACTACACTGCTGGTGTCTGCTGATGATGTTAATACCTGTGCGTAAACATTCTCATAAAATACAATCATATTTGGTGTATGCACAAGGTATGTTGCGCCCAAAATGCAACCATCCAACATTTTTATTATTTTAATACCAACATTTCAGATTAGATTACTATATAATTTAATAATATAATTTTCAGGGCTCAGCAGCTTCATAAAGTTATTTTTATATACTGCTATGTACAGGCTAAACTGAAAATATGCAATGGCTTCTATGATACCAGACGATGGTTGAAATTAAATGCATATCACCAAAAATTATGAGGTTAATGTCGACTCTCCTTTTCATCCTCGTGAAGATTTTTTCCCCGTCTATATGTAGTCTGTTAAGAAGTGCACATTTATTAAACGAGGCTTTTCCTGCGTCACGTGCTCCAGCTGTATTCATTCCAAACCGAAAAGCTCTCAGCGTTCACGAAGCTCTGCACTGATCGTCTAGGAGCACGCTTCACTCTGAACAGCTTGCACGCCGCGCTCCTGTACTTCTTTGACATGATGTTGTAGAGGATGGGGTTGATCGCGGCGCTGAGGTAAAACAGCACGAATGAGACCAGGTTGCAGTATTCGCTGATTTGGGAGATGAGAGGAGAATTGGCCTCGGATGACTTGGAGAAGAGATAACGACCGACGTGGAACGGCAGCCAGCAGAGAACAAACGCTAGAACCACCACAGCTGATGAAGAGAGAGAAAGAGAGTTCATGTCTGTAATGTTTTAAAAAGGTTTCATGTTTTATTATAGAAATTAGAAGTAGGCTACTATTAATACGATATTCTTGCAATAAGTGCGTTTTGGGGGAAAAAGTTGTGACTTAGGCCTAGTAACAATTATTTCGGACATTATGACAATGAGGTGAATCAGAATCAGTAACCAATGCGACTGAATGTTTCTGATTCACTAACAACAACCGGCTCAATCGTTCGGAAATTGGACTACACCAGTGGTTCCCAAACCTGTCCTGGAGGCCCCCCTGCCCTGCACCTTTTGTATGTCTCCCTTATCTAACACACCTGATTCCACTCATCTGCTCGTTAGTAGAGACTCCAATAACTAAATTGGGTGTGTCTGATTTGGGAGACATACAAAATGTGCAGGGCAGTGGGTCCTCCAGGACAGGTTTGGGAACCACTGGACTACACCAATAAGACCGTAAGAGTCGTTCGCTCCGGAATGATACTACTCTAGTTACTGTAGCCCAGGGGTGTCCAAACTCAGTCCTGGAGGACCGGTGTCCTGCAGAGTTTAGCTCCAACTTGCCTCAACACACCTGCCTGGAAGTTTCTATGGCTAGTAAGAGCTTGATTAGCTGCTTCAGGTGTGTTTAATTAGGGTTGGAGCTAAACTCTGGAGGACACCGGCCCTCCAGGACCGAGTTTGGAATAAAACATAAAAGAAGATATTTTGAAGATTGCTGGTAATCAAACAGTTGGTGGTTGCCTTTGACTTCCATAGTAGGAAAAAAAATACTATGGAAGTCAATGGCAACCACCAACTGTAACAATCTTCAAAATATCTTCTTTTATGTTCGACATAAGAAAGCAACTCATACAGGTTTGGAACGACATGAGGGTGAGTAAATGATGACAGAATTTTCATTTTTGGGTGAACTATCCCTTTAAAATAATTCAATTCTTGTAAAAAAAAAAAAAAGAAGTAAGTATAAAGTTGCTATTCCTTAGCAACTGTAAACAGCCAACAGCCAATATTCATTCTGATTATTGTTCATAATAAATATAAATTGTAATGTAAAATGTAAATAAATGTACATTTATAACAATCATTTTATTATAAAATATATTTATTTAAAAAATAATAAAGTTGTCTTTTATTGGTATATCCTCTATATTTTGTAAAATAAAATAAAAAAATCACTGTAAACTCGTTGCTTTATTATGCACATGGAATTTAATTAGCAGGTGTGTCCTCCTGTTAAATGTTTATTAAATCATTAAATTAGCCTATTTAATCATATAAAATAATGTTTATTAAACAATTACATATTTAAAGAGAAAATCTATTATTTTGTAAGATTTCCCGAGTGAAAGTTGCTCATCGCCAAAGTTCCACGGTCGGTACCGCCAGACCCGGTACAGGTCGAGGGGCATGCAGAGGAAAATGAGCAGGTCTGAAAGTGCCATGCTGCAGAGGTAAAGGTTGGTGGTGGTTCGCATGTCTTTGTATTTAGTGACCACCAGGATGGTCAACAGGTTCCCAGCGATTCCGACGAGGAACAGGAAAGAGCACGTCACTGTGATGCCAGTCAGGATAGGGACTGGGAAGAGATGGACCGGGTACTCAAAGTGCTCAGCAGTTGCATTACTATCCATAATGTCCTCCGCGCATAAAGTGATGCTGAACGGGCAGCTGGACACGTTTGTCCAATTAGTCATTATGATGAGATTTTAGAGGATTTGCATGGGCTTAATGGCACCTCGTGATTTCCACCCAGCTGTTGTTTCCATGCACATCTTACAGGTGTTCAATGCACACTGCACAGTATGAGAAGTGCACGCGAGTAACCTGTCAATGATGCGCCCCGAGCTGCGCGCAGGGGGTACACGATCCACAACACGCGTGCGCACTGGATGTCTTGACTAATTCTGCTGTTGAAATGCAGATTTAGTGCAAACTCTCTTTTCGTTTGCGATGTATTTTGTGTGCTTGCAACTTTTCTTAGCGTTTAGAAAATTTCTAACAAATAAGAGACAAATAACGCTCTTAGAGCGACCGAAAGTTGATTTACAAGATGAAGGGCTTTTTTTTGGTTCGTTTTATGCCACCTGGCGGTGTGACCAGACCATCTTATAGGTCACCGAAATAATAAATCCTCGTGCTTTGCTTGAATAAATAGTATAGCTGCTGCCGTCCAGGGTGCTGAAAAACGGCTGCTGTTTGTTTGGCCATATTTGCTTTTTTAATATAAAATTGCTGGATTTTAAACTAAGATTTTTCTCTTATCTGTTGTATCACTCTAAAAAAAGATAGTTCTTTAAAGGTTCTTTACACATAGTAGTCTATTTAGAACCATTATCAGCCTTGTGACTTTTTCTCTTGTTAATTGAACAGAACTTGAAAGTGTGACCTGTTCTGTTCAAGGATACTTCTCTCCTCCTCTAAGTAACAGAGATGTTGAATTTATGTTTTTCAATTATTACTAGGGTTTATGTGTAAACATGCCCAATCACAATAAATAAATAAAGAAACAAATAAATGAAAATAAACCTAGAGACACACTGTAACTTTAAACTTAATTGTGCATTTCATATGCTTTCACACCCAACAACATCATCATGTTCAATGCCAAGTGTCATTTATGAATGTATTTAGCTAATAAATATTGTTAGAGTACTGTCATTTTTGCTACAATTAAAAAAACAACAACTAATAGTGGCTTATATAAGACCAAGGAGATAGAGGGGTAAAAACAATATAAATAAATATTATATAAAAATAATATTAAAACTACTACTACTAATATTAACAAATACTACTACTAATATAAATATACTAATATTAATGACAATAAACTATTATTAAAAAGGTCATTTATAACAGCAATAACATCCTATATAGCACTTTCAAAGCATGGTTCTTAATGGAACCTTATAAAAACGGTTCTGTTTAGCACCACAAACGATTCTACTATAGCTGAAGAACTCTAATTTGGCACAGTTTTTACCATTTTTTCTTAAAAGTGTATGTCAGATTTTACAAAGACTTTATTTAGCTTTTTAAGCGGTCTGCTTTTCAAAAATGTCTGTTTAAAATATAGACATTTTTGAAAAATAAATCTTAAACCACTTTTATTTTTTTTATTCGTTTGTATCCAAGAAATAAATTAAGGCAGTGGTTCTCAATTCCTCGCATACCACCGCTCTGCATATTTTGCATGGCTCCCTTATTTTAATACACCTGATTCAGATCATCAGCTCATTAGAAGAGAGCTCCATGAATGAACTGTGTTCCGATTGACATGGTCCCTACACAGTGTTGATTGCTCCCTACTCCCTGAGCACGGGAAATCCGTTAAAGTTTACTTCACTTAGGAACATTCATTCATGGATTTGCGCTACGCCACGGCCTGCAGCATCTTAACACACAGACGAAACTTAATGGAGAAGTGTGACATAAAATACCTCTGTAAATAAATACAATTTAAATTCACGTCTCGCACACTTTAATGCTCTTTGAATGGAACATATAGCCTACGCTCCTTTCGAACTGTAATCATGCCGGAATATCATGTGAAGTCCACTTCGCAGGGCACTTACGGTGAATAGAACAAACATCTGAAGTGATAAGAGATACGTACAAAATGTGCAGAGCGGTGGTATGCGAGCACTGGAATTGAGAACTAATGCATCAAGGTAAATGTATGATATGTCTTCTATAATTGTTTAAAGGGATAGTTCACCCAAAAATTTAAATTACCCCATGATTTACTCACCCTCAAGCCATCCTAGGTGTATATGACTTTCTTCTTTCAGACGAATACGATCAGAGTTATATTTAAATATGGAAGCAGATTCTCATGCAAATATGCCCCGGTTTTTTATCGGTGGATCTGAAAAACGTGTACGCTCACATCCAGATAGCCCCTAATCACAGACTGCTCTTGAGATTCGGTTCGAGGTGGTGGCTTCTAAATATACAGTCCTACCATTCGGAACGTCTCTGGCCCTATGCACTTTACGAAGTGCACAGATGTGGTTCTTTTCCCTCTGAGACAGATGGGAATCTGTATTATGAATTACCTAGATGATTGGCTGGTCTTAGTCATATTGGAACAGGAACTCATTGCTCACAGGTCGCTGCTGCTCAGCCACCTGGAACGGCTTGAGCTAATAATTAATTTAGCCAAGAGCTCTCTGTCTCCCAGCCATCGAGTAGTCTTCCTGGGGACAGTTATCGATTTTGCCCAGATGTGGATTACGCCGGAATGCTCCCTGATAATTCAGCGGCTAGCGGCGTCATTCAGACTTGGGACTTCACATCCCCTTAGGGCTTTCAGAGGATGCTCTGGGTCTGCTTCTTATGCGGCCCCTCCAGTATTGGTTCAAAGCCCATGTATCATTCCACGCTTGGTGCCTGGGACGTTTTCATCTCAGGGTAACCAACCGTTGCATCAGAGCTGTGGCCCCTTGGAAAACCCCTCGCCTCTCCTCTTGGCTTATATCGAAATCCTCCTCCATCCTTCTTTACAAATCCTCGTTTTGTACTTCTAATTCTTGACCGTTGTTTTGTTTTGATCTCTCTGCTGCGTTTCCGCATGCGTCACTTCTGAGCGGCGCATGCGCAGCGCTGACCTCATACGTCATCCTCCCGGAGCTGCTTCCGTTTACAACAGTGAGCGCAAGCTAGATTAAAGCGATTATTACATTTTGAATATGGATATTTTTCTTACAAAAATGCATCGATTCGCTACAGGAGGCCTTTGTTCACCCCCCGGAGCCGTGTAAGACACTTTTTTTTTATGGATGGGCGCTTTTTATTTAAATTCTTTTGGACTGAAGCAATGCAACACCTGCTGACTGCAATGATAGAGCTTGAATGATCAAAGACAATTTTTAATATAACTCCGACTGGATTCGTCTGAAAGAAGAAAGTCATATACACCTAGGATGCCTCGGGGGTGAGTAAAGTGCAGCCTAATTTTCATTTTTGGGTGAACTAACCCTATAAGTTTCTGAGAGGACCTCAGCGATTGAATCCGCCTCGCTCTCATACTGTGCCGACTTGAGACTTATCTATAGTCCTCAGGGACATACAGGGCCCTGCCTTCGAGCTGCTCCAGTCGGTCCAACTTGCCGCCCCTGACGCTTAAGACTGCCCTCCTTTTGTTAGCGTCGGTGGGTGACCTGCACTGTCAGTCAGTGCTTCATGCCTGAGTTTGGGCCTAAGGACTGTAGAGTCATCCTCAAACCAAGATATGTTCATTGTACAAGACGTCACCCTTCTAACTCTTCCCAATTCAGATGACGAGCAGGGTCCTAATCCACTCTGCCCAGTTATGTTGATTTCTTTTGGTGACATCTGTGCGGCCACCGGCTACCTTCACCAGGTTTATAACTTGGACGTCCCTGCCCTGCAGACATGGATTTTGTCCACTTATGTTTACTTAATTCACTTTGTAAGTGGAGATGGTTTTGTTATGTAGTCTTTAGCCTAGGTGTCTTGGGTCTAATGTTTAGCTCAGACTTATAGGAGCCCTCAGTACGAGCAGTTCGGGGCTAGGCTCGCAGACTGCCTTTGTTCTGCACTTGCTTATAGCACGGCGCTATTGGATGCGTTCCCCATAAGCGTCAGAGAAGCAACCAGAGAGACCGTTCAAAAGGGAACTAAACAAACAAAGGAAACTTACAAGACTAGCATATTCTCTCTGGATCTTACGCTCCGCCTACATCCAACATCATCCGCTGGAATGTGACTCTCTCGTGAACGCGCATACTACAGTTTGCGGACGTTAGAGATCATGGTTTATAAAGTTTTAAATATGGATATTTTTCTTACAAAAAATGCATTGATTTACTTCAGGAGGCCTTTATCAACCCCCCAGAGCTGTCCGTGTAGGGCACTTTTTATGATGGATGGACAAAGTTTATTAGACTTCTATTGGACTATTGAATATAACCACCCATTCACTGCCATTATAAAGCTTGGAAGAGCCAGGACATTTTTAAATATAACTCAGATTGTATTCGTCTGTAAGAAGAAAGTCATATACACCTAGGATGGCTTGAGGGTGAGTAAATCATGGGGTAATTTTCATTTTTGGGTTAACTTCCCTTTAAGTGGGTATGGAACACAAAACCGATTTTGACCACACGATGGCAGCATTGTTACTTAAAGACCTAATTTTGGCATCATTTACAAAGCATGTTTCTCTTCACATATTCCTAGCTCAAAATGTCAAAATATTTGAAAACAAAGATTTTTTCCCCCCCCCCAAAAAAACAAAAGCCCTGTAAACCTTAAGATTTAATACAGTAATGAATTTAGAGAATTCTCAGTTTAGAGAACAACATAGTGTTTCAAGTTTATGTGATTAAATATTAAATTTTTAAAAACCCCTTCCTGCTTTTCAAGTATATTAGGTTTCAAGGTGAGGACTGTAAGAACAGCCCTGACAAACAGAAATCTGCATCCGGTTTGGTGTACAGATAGTCTATACACTTCATTTGCACACACACACACACACACACACACACACACACACAGTTTAAACGTTTGAGACATGATTTGATCATTATCATCCTTGGAGCAAGACATTTACTTAAAAAAATTAAACGAAAGAAAGAAAACCTCTAAACAATGACCATAATCAAAATAAATAGAAATAGAAATAAAAAAAATATATATTGCTGTTTAAGCTAATACATTGAGTAGAATT